CTAAGATCACCACCTGCCAAGGTCTAGTCCAGTGTTCTAGCCACTAGGACACACTGCTGGAGTGGTGCAAAGAGAAATCTAGCACAACACCACCCATGTGAGCCACCCCACTGGACTTGATGCCCCCTTGTCTCTGCCAGCACAAAGCAGGCATAAAAAGCTCCTAAATCCCCTCCACCATGCACAGATGCCTCAGTGCCAATAAGAATCAACCCTGTTGATCCTACAAGTTTATCAGGGGTGACCACCAGCATCTGGGGGAATGTTTGTTCACCAGAGCGCCCCAAGGGATGACGAGGTCGAATGGTCACAAACTACTTCAAGATCGTTTCAGGCTGGACATAAGGAAGAACTTCTTTACTGTCCGAGCCCCCAAGGTCTGGAACAGCCTGCCACCGGAGGTGGTTCAAGCGCCTTCATTGAACACCTTCAAGATGAAACTGGATGCTTATCTTGCTGGGATCCTATGACCCCAGCTGACTTCCTGCCCTTTGGGCGGGGGGCTGGACTCGATGATCTTCCGAGGTCCCTTCCAGCCCTGATGTCTACGAATCTGTGCTGGTGCCAGTTTCCACTCTCCCAAAATCAGAGGCCAGAAACAAAATAAACCCAATACAGCCAACAATTCACGCTAGGGTGCGAGAGCTACGCAGACAGAGCCACTCCCTCCTCTGGCATTCAGGGCCAGCTGAAAGCGGGTGAGGATTTCAGCCTCTCTGACAGACCAAACCAGATCGCAGCCTTTTTTTTCATTGGTTCCTTCCAGAAACATTGGGGGCAACTTCTCCAAGCAGGGTCCCCTCCGTTCCTGCTGGAAGCAGTCTGCATCCGCCTGCTTCTCTCCTCGAACATGCCACTGGCTTTCCCAGCTGTGGACAGAGCTCTGTTCCCAGGAATTTCAGAAGGAGCCATGACCTCTTTCCAGGATTGTACAGTATATGGTGGCAGGGAGCCAAGGTTAATTATGGAAGAGGAAAAGAGATGAGATGCAGTTGAAAAGGACTGTCTTCACATGCGCACGAAGCAGAGGCACAGCCCTCTGTTCTCCCAGCCTGGAGGTGCAAAAAGCATTGCAGAGGAGAGGGATGCCAGGAGATGCCCAAGCCCAAAGTAAGGGGCTGCTTCTCCTGCCTCTGGGCCCCGATTCTCAGATCTGCTAAGGTGGCTTTGATACCCAACAAGAACTGGGATTGCTCCCCAGCACCTTGGTACCATCAGAGCTGCATAAAGCCATTGAGGGAGAAAAGAACAGCCAGGCTGTCATTTTGTACCCGTCAGGCTAGGAACAAGTGTTGCATTTAATTCCTAGACTAATTGTACCTGGGTTTGTCCCAGAGCAGAAATATCCCTGGATTGTCAGGTGCACACATCACCCTTCTCATCAGGGTTTAGTAAATGGCTGAATACAGAGCCGCTTTTCTGCTCTTGATTCAATGACACAATCCCAGGATAACTGGACAGATGCACTTTGCCATATCCCAAGATAACCTGTTGGCACTTCTTATCCCGTGAATCTTTTAAGGGTTTGTCCCAAGACAAGGGACATGGATGTCGGAACGATCATGATGAAATGGTTTCTCCCAGAACAAATGACACTCCAGCTGCAAAGAGACGGGTGAGCCCAAGTAGCCAATTCCTGTGCTTTGAACAGGAGTCTCACAGCGGTGACTGCTTTATGGGCAGCCCCATCTCCTGAAGTTGCATGACAATGCAAAAAGCCAGGTTATTCTTTAGAAGAAAATAAGTTTATAGCTTTTGTAACCACAAAGAAAGGCTTGGAAGAGGTGACCATGAAAGGCAAGCAGAAAGAATTCCGCTTAATGCCTCTATCAGCCTCACAAATGTGTCTTTTTTCAGACGATCCCACAAGTTTCCAGGGCCCAACTAATGATTTGTCACCAGCCAGGAGGTGACATGATTGAGACTAGAGCCCCGGGGTTCTGTTCTGCCATGTGACCTCACACTTAGCCTCCATGCCTCAGTTTCCCCAAGCTGCAACATGAGGATTGAGATGCTGATTCCCTCTCAGGCCAGGCTTCCAAAATCCTCTGATGAAGAGGGTTTTATGGCAGCTATTCAAAGCAGGAAGGGCATTCATTTAGTCCTAGAGAAGACATCCCACAGCCAGCCAGGGTCTGACGACCCCAGACATGAAGGCCCCTTTATTTGCTGGTGTGACATAAAAGAGCCTTTTACTCTAGAAGCACTGCCAGCTCGTGTGCGGGTGTTTGCAAGCTCTCCACCCCAGCTCTGCATGTCAGATCCAATGCCCCTCGAGAGCCTGAATTCATCATCCAGACTAGGTCCCCTCTCCAGTAGTGTCTAAACTGGCCAGATCCAGCCTCAAGTTGGCAACCAGCAGCTAGCCAGCCCTGTCGCCCATCGGCAAACTTCATCTCAGTGGAAAAACATCCGAGGGGCAAGCGATTCTCACTCAGGGTGGAGGGAAGGGCCTTCAAGGAGGGGACTGGTCTATAGGTCCTTCTTGTAGTGCACAAGGGCTTTAAGGCTTGTCTTCCAGCTAATCTGGGTTAATACACCCAGGTTAAAACCTTAGTCTGAGCAAAAAGGCAGCTGTCACTATCACACAGACTAGGCCAGCAAGACAGCTTCTCGGTTCTCCCCCCAACTAGTTAAGCGCACAAAGTCTCAGTTGCCTTTTACCTCGGGTTAGCTTAACATGGGTCAGACACCCACATTCTCCAAGCACGAATGACAGCGCTGGTCCCCCCCAGAGTCTGCCCTCTCGGTGGGCCAGACAAAGGGAGCCAAAGGAGACAGAAATGACTTGCAGAGACAGAGTCGCAAATAGAACCCAGGTGTCCCGACTCCTACTCCAGTGCTCGCGCCACTGAGACGCCCCGTCTCTCACCTTATAAATATTCTTCCCAACTTGAAGGAAAGTGCAAATCCACAGGAGGTTTTCAACACCCCTGCGAACATTGGGCTGAAGAGGTCTGGTCACTCAGAGTCACAGGGGGGAGGGACACTTCCCTTCCATTTCTGGTCCTTTGGGGCACATAGGAGTCATCTCAGACACCCGCTACCACGAAGGATGGGGAAAGCATCTGAATCACCTAAGTGAACGCAATCCCCCCCAACACAAATGAATATGCCCGATACCTTCATTCTGCAGGTGTTAAGGGCAGGCGTCATCTCCCCCCTAACTGGATAACAAGCTCCCAACCAGATCCGAACAAAGGATTAGTCAAAGGCAGTTTAGAAAGATTAAGGCTGGGTTTAGTTGTCAAACATTTTCCATAGGGATTGACCGGCAGAGGAGAAGCCCCAGTTGCCAGCCGCCCAGTACAACAGTTGCACCCCTGCACTCACTTGTGATCATCTCAGTTGTGATTTCACGTAGCTCCCTTGTCAGAGGCTGTTTCCAAGGCCTGAGCTGCAAAGTACCCTCCCATCCAGCACCTTCAAAAGGGGCTTCAAATCAGGCACCCTTCATTCACTGAGACCATTTATTTGCACTGCTGTCATGTCTAGGATGTCCGAATCACAGGCCCTGACCTTTGGCCCCAGGGTGCTGGAAGCTGTACAAATAAAACACAAAAAAAAAGCTACAGTGCCAGCCTCAAAGAGTTCACAAGCATGTTCCCCACCCCAAACATCCAGAACTGCTGAGCCAGGTCCCCCATCTGCAAAAAGAAATCATGAGATCTCTAATGGGGCCATATGATCCAGCTATTGTTTGCAACTGTAAAGGCAAGAAACTGGCTCTTCGAAAAGGAAAGCTGAGCTTCTCACATCATCATATGAATCTGGACACTGGCAGTTTACAAGGGGGAAATAAAATCCTGCTAGATACTAGGGAGAGTCACTATTTGGATTTGATAATATGAAGCTTGGGCGTGTGATTAGCTTAGAAGGAGGAGCTTTTCAAAGGAACCTAATTTCAGCAAAATCAGAAATAACAGAGGCCTGGAAAGGAAGGTGGGGCAGTTCGGAGAGACGGGAGGGAATATGAAAACATCCATGTGAGAGCCTAGAAAACAAATCCAATGAAGATGTTTGGAGCGGATCCAGCTGTTTACTGGTGACGCACAAGGAGGTATAAATAAGGAGCTGGTTGGAATTGGGTTCGCAGGCCGCTCGCCCTTATCTCATCAAATCTCAGAACGGAGCGTCCCCAGAAGCAAATCTTGAGAAAACCAGATGCAGAAGGGAAAACAACAAAAACACGAGGAACTTCGACTGAATCCCGTCAAATACCAAGCAGTTGGACCAGCACTGCCAGCTGCTGGCTTACTGCCCCCCATTAGCCAGTACAGGGTAGGAACGCCATCATCGCTCCCCATGGCCCCTCCAGGTAATGACCTCAATGATGGTGTCATCTACAGAGCCTCTACTACAACCTCTGAACTCAAAACATATAGGCAAAAAAAAAAATAAAATCAAGCCTATTGCTAAGGCAGTAGCAACCAATTCACCCAAAACCCCTCCATGGGGTTCAGGGTCATGACCTGACATCACTTTAATGCTGCAATTAATTCTCTGGGTCCTTCACACTTGAGTCCCAAGCCTCCCTGCACACCCACAGCCCTGTTACCGCACCTCCCCGGCTCCTGGCACTAGCCTCCTCTTTGTCTGCGATCTTATGGGCAGGGACAGTCTCTCATTGGCACCCGGGCAGCTCCAAGCACGGCTGCATCCTGCTGCTGCAGTCACGCCAATGCCTCTCACCAAATAGCAGAGAGGAGGATATAAAAAAAAAAAAAAAAATACAGGCTGCCTTTGCACCCCATCCAGCAGGGAGAGCTCCCCTAGCACCCCTGCTCCTCCTCCATCCCCTGACTAGCACTTCCCATGCATTTCTGCAAGCACTGGCCAGGACTTGGGACTGGTCTGCTTCCCTCTAACAAGCTTCCCAAACACAGAGCCTTTCAATGCATGCCCCCCCCCACAGCCCCTGCCGCTGGAATCCGCTCTCCAGGGATTGCTGCCTGGCAGACGCGGTTGCTATTTTTAAATCCAAAAGGAAAAATAAAAAAAAGGCAGACTCTACCTCTCTTCCCAGTGCTGGGAACATGGGGCTGGCCTGCTCCAGGGCATGTGGCTATCCCTTCACAGAGGGGTAGCATTTGTGCTGGAGATGGGGGTTCAACTCTCTGGAGCCCCGGGGTCGATGATTGGGTTTTTAAATGCCTCCAGATCCCATCCTTGCTGGTTGGGGGTACTGCTCTTGGGGGAAGGTGACATCACCTGCAGGCTCTGAGCATCAAAAAATCCAGGCTGCCATGAAAATAGGAGGCATCTCTTGCTTCCAGATGCCTCATTCCTCTATCCGTCAAGGTGAACGGGTAGCACCCCACCCATCCTCTCTTACTCTGACATATGCCAAGGCCTTTCCATGCTACTAGGAGCCTTGACAGTGAAGTGAATTTGGGACACCCAGTGTCAAGCCTCTTTAAGCAGCCAAGGCGGCTTGGAGGAGAACATGATCTCTCACCTGCCTCGACCATCTAGGGCAGCAACTCCACCGTCAATGGACACTCAAGCACTGACTCATTGTTCCACAGGTTTCCTCCAGCAAGCAGAGTTTATGAGCAGATACAGACAACCTCACCCCCATCCGAAAGCCAAAATAAGCTAGAATCGGCCTGTGTCTTAAATCCTTCCCGCCTGCAATAGCTGAGAAAGGAGCAGTGCAGCAAATTTGGAGAATTCAGAGTTCAACGCCAAAGAAACTCAGGGTCAGGCAGAGAAACACACAGCAAAGGCAGCCCTGAGAGCAGTGGCCGCAGGGCCTGATGAGCCATATCGCTGTACTCCAGGGCCAGGGCCCTAATCACAGTCCCCATTTACAATCAGGAGCAATTTTTACTGACTACCAAGGGAAATGGCAGGTCCGTCATTCCTTGATGAGCAAAGCCAAGCTGCTTTCTGGAACAGCAGCCTCTGTCCAGTGCAAGTTGTTGAAGGGAAGTAGGGGGAATACTTGATGGCCTCCAGTATTTTGGAGGTCACACAAGGAGATCTGGAGTTCCCACTAGGAGATCTAAGAGATTTGAAGGCCAGGTGGATCTGTGACTCGTATAGATAGGGCGCTCAAGGCCCAGAAATCCCATGTAGGTTATATTAAAGCAGCAAAGACAGCACAAACATAGCTATATCATCGGGACCCGCAACCCCCTCCTACTCTCCCCCAAAGCTGACCGCCAAGGCAATGTGACCAGCCCAGGTCGTTCAAGACATCCATGTGGAAGATTCTCATCCTGTCATGCCTGCCAATACCTGGGGGACACGGTTTTCCCATCTTGTATCAACTGGTTTCATAATAGAAGTCTCTGGACAAGAAGCAGCCAAAGGTTTAAAATAAAAGAAGCAAAAGAGCAATGAAAAGAAAAAAGCAGTATTGGAAACTTACTGAGGAAGTGGGCTGCCTGGTCCGGCAATCTGCTGGTCCCTGCTGGTGGGAAAGTCTATAAATCTCTATGAAAGATATAATGCCCCTCCCTTGCTATCCCCCGAGGACTGAAAACCCAGGCTGGATGCTGCCGCGTTCTTACCGAGTCTGGGCTTCCTGCCACGATCGGCAGCGGCTCTGGGGGTGTGGAAAAAAAAATGTTTATTTTGGGGGACAAGGGGAAAAAAAGAAAAAAACCCAAAAACTCGCCATGTACAAACTGCGAAGGCCAAGAAAAAAAGTGTTTCTGTGACTGGCCAAGCCCACATGCACGGGAGAAGGGGTTTTGTGTAAAGATCCAAGGTTTCTGGTGGGAATGTGGAGCTTACTCAGTATGTTTTTTCCTGGGGTTTATGCCTAGAGAGCGGAACAAGCTCTCATTCATGCACCTCATTCACGCACCCCAGGGAGGGTGTTTCCATGTTTGTCAAAATAGCCTAAAACATAGGGCGGTGGCTCAGGAGAATGGATGCAATGGCTGCAGAGCTGGGCTAGGAGGCAGCAGGCCAGGGCACTGGTTTGGAGCGGCCCCCTGACCCTACAGGTCCCCTTCGGCAGCTGACCTCTTCGTACTGGAAGAGCTCGGCTTCCTGCTTCCTGAGCGGAAGAAAATCCCCTGGTTGCACAGGGTCCACGACACACAGCTGAAAAGCTTTGCCTCCATGGCCAATCTCACATGTACACACACACACGCACGCATGTGCATGTGTATGAATGCATGGATGAACATGTGCGAATGCATCCTCCCAGCCCCTGCCAATCCCAGCCTCGCCGCATGGTGGGAAAGGTGAATGAGCTCAGCTTTGAAAGTACAATCTATGGGCTGAGTATCCCTGCCCCTGTCCCTTGCCAAGAGCCTGCCATGCTGCCAAGATGGCATTAGGAATTACAGAAGATACAGAGGAGGAAAAGCATCCTCCCACCGTGACCCAGATTCAGCTCCAACTTGATCCTTCCGTGAAGTCATAATCCTACAGGCTCTTTTTTTTTTTTTTTTGGTTCATTTTTTTAAAATCCATCCCTATGCGTTGCCATGGAGATGCCTGGGATGCTATAATTTCAGCAGCAGAGACTCCAGAGCAGGGGAATGGATGGGTAGCACAGGGAGGTGGGGGGGAGAGGGGGGGGACGGACACGACTTGTATCAGCTTTTGGTTTAAGCCACATAAGACAGGTGATGGCTTTGGTGTGAAGGCATCGGCCAGGCCCACAGGCTCCTTGGGTGTCAGTATGCCAGCCTGTAATACTTCTTTCCCTGCTCCATTTGATCGGGTACCTCTTTGGGGCAGGGACCAGGCCCTGGGCGGTGAGATTGCACCTAATAAAGGATCTTTGCTTTAGCAAGAGGTGGGAAGAAACATGCGCAGAATCCCTGAACCAGTCCCTCCAGGGGGGAACAGCCCGGGATCCACCCGCCTCTTACCAGTACGAGGAGGGTCACAGACTAGACCAGCTCCCAGGCGAAAGAGGAAGACCCCAAGGCATCAACAGATACCAGGGCAGCAGGAACCTTGCTGTAGACAAGACACCCGCAGCCGCTGGAATGCACTGGAGGATTGAGCCTGCACTGTAATTAAGGGAAGCTGAATATCAAAATCCTTTAAAAGTGGGGGGAAAACAGTGGATACACTGGGGGGCAGCTGGTTTCACATGCAAAGCTGCACCAGACAATAGCCTCTGTGGAAGCTACCAGTTCAAACCAATCCCCCTTGTCACCCCACAGTTTAGGACCCCACAGCCTATCCGCCGGACAACACTGCAGCCTTCTCTTTAACCATGTAGGAGACAGGCCAATGTAATTCAGGCCCAGGTGCCCCAGCCGTTGAAGCACAGAGTTCAGGCAACGATGCACCCTGGGCACCAGCACACCCTGCGCAGGTCATGTGAGCTCAAGCGAAGGCAGTTCCCACCACTGTGACTGGGTGGAGGTGCACGGGTGTCAGGCAGAACAGCAGTTTGGTATTCACGTAAAAAATGAGACCCATTGTAAACACGGCCTAACGGCCCGTGACCTTGCTTCAAAGCCACGCATGTGTCCTTTTCCCTGTTCATTGGCTGCCCCCACCCCTTCACTGAGCCCTGGAGGAAGCCAGAAAGCCCCTGGGATTCTGCAAACTCCCCCAACC